AAACATGACTGTCAAATAAGTGTTTTCAAAATACAAACTACTTTGTAGCTTATCGGCAACTAAAGTCACATGAAAAATATTTGTTCTGTATTATTTTCATATTCATTTTCAGATACAAGTTCACTTATGTTACCTTATGATTTCTTAAATTCAATCTTTATTTTATATCTATTTTTGTGTTATAAAAGACTGTTATAACTTTTTCAGTAGTGAAGTTCTCCATTGTCACCGTTTGAACGTCTTGACATTGAGTTTTTTATTTCTTTGTAATTAAATGCATCAGTTCGAATAAATACACTTTTTTTTATATATTAGAAAATAATCCTACGTGTACTTCTATAAAAAATCTAGTACTGGACTTGATAGTATTTAATTTAACTAAGAAATTTTTTAATTTTTTATTCACAATGTATATATCTTTATGATTATATATTTTTGGCGTGCTTCTTGACTAAGAAAATTTCGAAACAAAATTTATAGTAAAATATTCAAATATTTATTACATATAATTTTTAATTATTAATTATTAATATCCACTACAATTAGTATCACGATTGTCTTTTTATAAATAATTATATTAAAAATAAATCTTTCAGATAATTAACAAATTTACTTAAACCATTTCAGGTAATTTCTTTTCCCAAAAAAAAAAAAATGATTCCAATCTGATATGTGAATTTGTTTAACAAACAAAAAAAAGTGCGAAAGTCTCTTTACTTACTGAGTCCTTGAAAAAAAGATTTAAAGTGACGAACACAGTGGTGCGATTTGTATCTTTAAGTACGTATCTCATTGTATTTGTTTCAATTAATGTATAAAATAATTTCAATGCTTATTTCAGCGCGTAAATAAGTACTTAGAGGCGTAACTATCATAGCTAAGTACAAGGTACAGGAAGAACATCATTTAACAGCTAATAAATTTTTAAATCCAATGGAGACCACAGGTAACAACGAGCCAAGAAGTAATTAAAATATTACTAAGAAAATATTATTTCTTTTAGACATGTTATGTAGACAGTCAAATCTCAATTTAACAATTTTTCATATCTCAATGCTAAACTCTTAATATATGTTATAAACAACAATTTTATATTTGATGTGACCATTACTGTCAAGATAGTCCCAACTAACTTTACTAAAGGAATGCGCAATGTAGAAGTTGAAGGTATTGAATATATCTAGATTATCAAATCCAAGTTAATCTGTAGCCGCAAGAATATTATATCTGAATTGGCTAGTATTATAAATAAAGTAACACTCGTCTGGATACCTGGTTAAGTGCAACTCAACGTTACGAAATAGCTGACGAGCTTGTGTAGAACGGTGCCATGATTGCTCTCATAATATGCTAAATTTGTTATGGAATATACCTGATCAAGTGGAATTCAACAGAATAGCTGACAAGCTTGTTTACATGACTGCCTTAATTGTCTTCATAACATTCTCACCTATTTACGGAATAAACCTGGTTAAGTAGTACTCAATGTATGAAAATAGCTGACAGGCTAATTTAACAAGCTTACTTTGTTATTGAATATTTACTCGTCATTCTTTTTTCAGTACTAACAAAGAGTCAGTGAAGGTGATTCAAATCGCGTTTAACCTCTTTATAGTACTCCTATCTTTTCCTGAATCGATATAGTGAAAATAACTACTTAAAGTTTTTGAAGCTCGAGTTCCAATATTAACACAAAATAACTTTAACTATTTCGATTACCTATGATTAATAACAGTTGGCCAATTTGAGTTGAATGAAATTTACAATAACACAGCGTCTAATAGGAATTAGCCAGAACGTTTTACCAAGAAACACACTTCATCTTCCACTTCACCTTCCTACTTAGATATAAGGTTATTTATGCCATTTTTATATTAGACAACAACAACGACTTATGATAATATAAGATGAGTGAGCTAGCGCTTTTCCGGTTCCATATAAAAAGAGTTTTAAATTGACTGGATACCTTTAGTATGTAATGGTACGAAAATAATTTTGAAACAAATTTTGTTGCTACTACCTTCATAACCAAGACATTTGTAAGAATCGTCTCATATGAGTGATATGGTACACTTTTCAGCAATCGTAAATTTTCACATATTTTCATCATTGATTAATTTCTTAGAATGCCTAGCATTTGGAATGTCTTAGATAATGCATAGAAAAATTTGAATCTTCTCTAACGATCTTGTAGAAACCGTTATTAATCATCAGATTCTGGCAGTATTGTTGGCAACGGATTTCTTTAGCATATTGATTATTTCATGAAACGGGATTTCATTGCAAATAAAGTCTCAAATAAAGTCTAGAATCCGACAATTTGCAGCACAAAAAATTGCCAAGCGCCACAGTCGCCTGATAGTTGACATGTACGTTACTGACAGTGCAACCAATATAGTAAATTTTCTATTAATCGGGTGCCCTCATGAACGGTCATCTATCGTAATCATACAATGTTTTCATTGTTCATACAAAGTATGATCTTTTAGACGGATAATTTCGTTAACCGGACAGAATTCCTGATCCGTCAATGCTGTTAATATTATTAATGGTTTATTTTAAACTTTATAGAATAACGACCAAAACCACTGAAGCAAATATTAAATTTATTGAAATGGTCAGATAAATGAAAAGTATAGTAAATCAGTAATTACATGTAGCCAATCTTATGAGAGAATACCAAACGATTTTTTACAATATAATTTATGAGCTTCCAAAGATGAATATGTCCTTATGGGCCACCAAGTATCGTTTTTCATCTAGCACAGTTGCAATATGCGCTAATGAGGTAGTTTAGATTAGATTATGCTGGCAGACCAAAAAGGTCACGCGTAGACCATTAAGATCCATTGCGATACCAGATCAAAGTCTTATTTTAGCGATTGTATGCATAACTTAGGATATGAGTTTTATTAGCAAAATTTATTAGGATTCCAACAGAAACCTCAGGTATGTGCTCCAGTCCTGTAAGACTGACAGCCCCCAAATATTTTTGTCGAGTTCTTGAGAGAGCCGGGCAATTACACAATAAATGCTACAGCGTTTCCTTTGCACTCGGCTCGTTGCATTTCCTTCAACCATCGCTGTGAATTAGGTTTAGTTTTCGGGCATGTGATGTGACCAGACAGTGACCTGTCAACACACCAATTATTGTTCCACAGTTCCTTCGGTTGGAAGATATAATATCCTTGGTGTACTTTTCTTCGTATATATGTCTATACATGATTATAGCTATTCTACAGGTGGTTAAGTTAAGGAGGAGGAGGCTAAGGAGATAAATTATACTAAATTTTATAAGAACTGTTAGCAGTTCAGGTTGTGAACACACAAAGAAGAAAACAAACTTACAAAAAATGGTATAAAGAATTGTCCTTCTCTAGAATTGCTAGAACCTTGTGGCATGGGTGCACAAGAAGGGGAAGAAACTTTTAACAAATGGAACAAAAAACTGGATACCTTTAGGACTGGTAGCACTTCAGGGCGTATGCGTACTAAATGAAAAGAATTTATAAGGAATGACATACACGATTAAGTTTTCTTAGGACTGGTGATATTTCAACATTTGTGTGTACAGAAAAGAGAAGAAAATTACAGAGAATGGCATATCAAATTAATTTTTCCTAGCGGTGTTAGAATTTAGCGATATTGTGCTGAGGAAAGAAGAAAAAAATCACAAAACGTATATCAGACAGATTGCTGTTCCTTAGGACTGGTGAAATTTCAGGGTTTGAATATATAAAGTTTTAATGAATCCTAAATATTTTCAAAACCTATGGGAAACGAATGCTTTATGGAGTGATAAATATCTCCGGTTGTGCATTCACATTAATTAATGAAATTTTTCTAATATTTTAGTCAAATAATTTGAAAGAAATAATGCATTTCAGTACACTTCTAAGTATATTCTTACGCGCTTATACATATCCAACTTTATAAAATACAAAATATTACGTGTTTCTAATATTTCTTATGGAGTAGGCATCATTATATACTACATTTACATATGTACAAGCTATGTTTTGTGTATAATTAACTAACGAATAATTTACTTACTTCGAATTGCACAAGTGAAATATCTGCTACATTTCTTCCATACTCGTCCTTGTTTAATAAATAATTTATTTATTCAATTTCTTGTTAAAAACTTCTGCTAAGTGTCAACTGCTTACAAATAATTTTCTACTAAATACCAATTTTTGTGTATACTTATAGTTATGTTTATAATACAGCTTAATGTTCACCAAGTATCGAATAATTGTTATTATATTTTAGTACATTTCAGTAATTATAATTGGTATGTACCATATATAAATGTACGTATATGTACACATTCTTGTATATACATACATATATATATGTACTATATTTTTTTGTTTTAAGTAATGCTTCAGTCAATTGAGTGACTTTTTTTCATCATTTTGCTTATTTTAACACTAGCTTATAGGTAATTAATTTTAAGTAAGAACTAAGTTCTAAAAATTTGTATCTTAAGATATTTTTAACTACTTAGGAATCATGGCCCTTTAATTTGCATTTAATTAAAAGTCAGTTATAAGTTTATTGCATATCAGTATTAGTTTGCAATCTAAATCTGTAATATGTTCTACTTATATATTATGTATGTATATATAGATACATATATATATATATATTTATACACGGCTTCAAAACCGATAAATAATAAATACAAATATTTATGTTCTTAATTTTTAAAGATAAATTCTATATTTTTCATATAAATATTTTTAAAATGTTTTAAAAGATTACTTAATTAATTTTTACAAAATGTACAATATCTTATTATGCTAATTAAATTAATTATTATTAACAAGTGGTTTATGTGCCACTTAGAAAATTCGGTGCTTATATATATATACTTGGTTGGCTTTTTTCATTTATATTCAATAATATTTAGTTTCCTTGGGAAAATATGTTTAAACAATAAAATTTAAAGTTTTTAACATTTTTTAGTAAATCGTAGTGTATCCTTTAGTATTAAAAATGTACATATAAAAGCTACTCACAATATTTTACACTAGTTTCCTTAAATGTTGTGTTCGATCTTTTACTATCAACGATCACACAATATCATCTACAATTATCAAAGTGACATTATAAAAACCGGCAAGACGATCGCCACAAACGAGAGTAAGAATAGACGCTCACTGGAACTACTTAATGCGCTCGCCTGGCAGAGCAAGTCCTCTGGAAATATTTCAAGTATAGGCAATCGACGACCAGTTGTTGGATCGTGACATGTATTTGCACGTGCCCGCTAGTGAAGAAATCAATAAAAATATTATAGTGATTAAATTATACATAGTATCATATACATTAAGACTGAAAAGTTTTCGGAAATTCTCATTTAAAATTCGCGCGCTGTATATTTTTCGATATTTTAAGTTTATGTAGTTTGGCAGCACTGTCCTTAATTACTATGCCAAAAATGAGCTCGATCTGTCAGACAGTTCGTTTACGGCAGCTGTTGAAACCAGTTCACCTCAGTAGTGCGTTGCGAAATGTCTTCGACGGTCGTACGACCGTCCTGGAAGGCTTTGTACCACTCATAAACTTGAGTTTTCGATAAAACTGATTCCCCATAAGCCTTTTGTAGCATTCGCAACGATTCTGCACACGAAATTTCGTTCGAAACACAAAATTTGATGCAAACTCTTTGTTCAATATTTTTTTCCATTGTTTTTTTCGCAACGCCCTACTGAGGTGAACTGGTTTCAACAGCTGCCGTAAACGAACTGTCTGACAGATCGCGCTCATTTTTGGCATAGTAATTAAGGACAGTGCTGCCAAACTACATAAACTTAAAATATCGAAAAATATACAGCGCGCGAATTTTAAATGAGAATTTCCGAAAACTTTTCGGTCTTAATGTATGTATGGTATATAAATTATAAATTATATTTTGCTATAGAATAGTATAAATAACTAAATTAAAAATAAAAAAATTATAGAAGATATTAGTATATAAAGGCTTACTCGCATATCACTTGTGGATAAGGGTAGCTTCAATTAAAAAAATTGAAAAGATTCATTAATATTTTTATAGTGATTTAAAAAATATTTAACTATAATGGACAAAGTACTAATTTAATGATTGCGTGTTCATGAAACACATATTAAAGATCTATCAAATACACATTATAATTACAATATACCATAATATCTACTTCATGAGTTAGAAGCTGTACTTAAGATAAGAGACTATAATTCATTATTTTGAGACTCAAATCTATAGATATTAAGCTAGTTTAAATAAGGCTGTCTATATCTAGACCTTTTGATCCAAAGCGTAGTATAATGCTAAAAACTGTGGTTATTGGTTTTGCAAAGAATTGTTAAAGATTGCCAAATCATCTTAGCTCATATAAACAAATTCTGTCTGAACTTGATTATTTGTGATTGAAATATGTTTAAGTAAGCCTAGCAGACCGTAACATACATTTAGACTTTGTGGTCTATTGTATACTGGATGTAATAGATATACCAGATGGAGCAAAACCGTTAGGTAGATTTAAGTAGATCTCATTTAAAATATTGGTGCGACTAGTAGTTTTAAGAAGCCGGGCCGTGCGGTGAGCTGTGGGTGGAGAGTTAGTGATTTTGAAAACTAATTTAAATTATGAAAACATTTAATTAAATATATTTTATTTAAATGTATTTTATTTAAATGTATTTTATTTAAATTAAATTTATCAGAAATATGTTGAATAAGGAATGTAGTATTTGAGGTTTAAACTCCATGTGTATGTCACTGCTTAAGAGTGACTAATGCTTCATTCCCACGATATCCATTAACAACTCAAGTCATGAAGGCATTAAATTTTTGAAGTGTTCGTGATAATATCGAACATAAACATAAAATATGTTACAAAGTTTTCCTTTCTTCCTGACTGCCTGCACTTCATGTATTCTCCGCTATTAATAAACTCTATTTTGTGTACTTGTACGGTTGATAGACTATTGGTAAACTTATGATAGTTCAGCAACCTATTGAGTGATAGCAGTAGTACTAATCTGGTGTACATACCAATTTTCCTTTGATGTTTACTAAAAGTTGCTGTTCTACAATAGGTAAATCTGTTGATCTATTAGCCGTGTTTTCATAACTTTTTAGATATCATTGCTTTGATTTTTAAAATTTTTTTTGCATACCGTTTTCTTTCTCGAATGTTAGCCAAAAAATATTATTGGTAATCCTATATAGTATTTTGACTTAACAAAATTAACTGTTTGGTTTTTTTTTCCATAATAATATGAGGAATCTACCATAGTTGAATGTGGTATCTGGTTTTGAAGGATGTGATCTAATGATGCACGTACGATATACTACATAAATTCAACATAATGACCTATTAAAGACAAGTAATATAGCCGTACAAATAATCTGACTCTGTCGTTAAATTATATTAAATTGCATTAAATCTAAGTGAGGCGATATGCCAGACTGTTTATTAATGAAAGAACTATTTTCCACAAAGATTAGGTTCGCTATTTGAAGAAACAATGTACAGGGGCGCTGATGTGAAAGATCATGTAGACAACTACTATACGCATTATAGGATACATAATATAAAAATGGAATACAAATCTAATTTGTGTATTATGTGACATAAATCAAAACTTAACTTAGAAAATAAATTGATTCTGTTTAATACAATGTTGAGAATGTTTGAGATACAATTTCTTATTTAAGTCTTCAAATCAACGCCCTAAAAAGTAAATAGATTGCAGTTAATTATTGATTTCTAAATTTCACATCCCGTATAGATGAAGTGTCTTTGTGCTTTATTTAAAATGGATTGGATAAACATATAGTCCTTAAGATACATTAGAAATGCAATTTAAAGGGAAATGGAAAATTTAGGTGCTAATTATATGCTAATGAGTCGTAAACACCCTTATTAGGTAGCACCAGTAGCACTACCCGAAAAGAAAAAGGATTGTTTGTAAATCGACCGGATACTCGATTCCTAGACTTTATTCATAGTATTAAAATCAATTTCTATTCATTAAAGCCAAAAAAGAGTATGGTAAGCGCCAAAACCAGCAAATTAATGGAGTAGTTGACCAATACGTCAGATTGATCTAACACAGTTGGTACAAGAAGCGTTTTAACCGCTTTTTATACAGTAGAACCGTAACCTTTATATCATTAAGAGTAGGATTAATAACGGCCACAGTTGAATAACAACATAAACCAAGTGACTAAAAGTAAAAGTTCTAGACTTTCGTTGAAACCGAATCGGCATTCAGAAGGAGTAGTTATAGATTATAAATATAATAAAGAAAGTTGAGAAATATATTTAGCACAGATTTGACCATTAAGGAGCTTATAGCATTCTCTCTCGTCACACTTTTCCTGTAATAAACTGAATATAGAAATGAATATAGAAATATACTCTATATATCAAACTTTGTCAACAACATTCCATCGGAAAAATTCATCAACAATCAGAGAACAATCAGGATTGTTCTCAAATTAGTGAAAAAAATTTACAGTAAAAAGTATCACAATGGAACGGTTAAGAAACTATAGTAAATATGTTAATGATAGTTAACAGCTGTTTACTAACCTCTAACATAAGGTATGTAGTGTTAATTACTGAATTAATTGTTTTTTTATTTATTAAATATTTTTTTTTATATCAGACTACTGCTTGAAATAAGAATATTCATAAATAAAGGATTGATCACTCTGTTGCGTTCGTAAAGTACAATAGGAATGGTGAAACATCACTGGTTTTCAATATTTCGGAGTATTGCATTGGAACTTGGATTGTGGTTATTGGTATTTTTTTAAAGATCGATTATGAATAATCGTTATATAAATATGGAACTAAATGGAATTGATGGAACTAAATCACTTTTGAGATAGTATGGAACTGCTCTTTTTTCAAGGATAACATATTGTTGCATTTGATGTCAAGCGAAAATAGTTTCATTAATGATTCTAAAGAATAATTCATAAATAAGATAATATATATATGTGGAAATATTAAATCTTTATAAAGAACTCTTAGCAAACGTTATTTTAAAACTATCATATTTCATATATCATATATCAAATAAGATTTTCATAAATGATATTGTAAACAAGGCCTTATTTTACACATAATAAGAAATAATTGTTTTTATAATAATTAAATTATATTAGTGATGTAAGCGATGGTTTGTATTGTACCATAATTTAAATATGACGGTTTAGAAACGCACACATGGATATAAATTGAATTCTATTCAGGAATAGTCAGGATATTTTCTTTGGCTCTGTGATAAATGCGACAAAGGAATATCTATGTTATACGATAATTTTTAAAGAATCGAATCTTTGAAATAATCACAAGCAATATGTGAGTTTTTATGAATACATATTTTGTTGGTGTTTCTTTTTAATTTCAAGTGCTTACCTGTACCATTCGCTTCATATCATCCTTTTGTATCACTTTAATTTGTGCTGATTCTCTTAGCCAACGTCGCAGCCAATGTCCAAACCACACAAGTCCGCATTCGCACTCCAATGGATTGTGTGAGGTGTCCAAGCCGCCTATTATGCTACGTGTGCCCACTGTATCCCAATAGGTTTTATTTGGATAGAAGCTATCAGCTGCAAGGGCGTTAATTTTATTGTGTGAAATGTCGATGGATAGGTGCGGTACGGAGCGCAGAGTGTAAAAAATTCCAGGAGGCAAATCGGATATTTTTGTGTGTGAGATTTTTACGTGCAAACGTTGATTACGCGCCAAGCCAGACAATGCATCTGGTGAAATGGTCTGCACATTTGTGCCGTAAATTTCTACCAATTGTAGTTTTGTATTGTTAAGCAGTTTAGCAAATAATTGCGGTCCAATATTCGATTCAATGCAGTGTATATGGAGCTCCTGAAGTCCGGGTACGCGAGACACAATGTCGTCCAGATTTTGGTGCGAAGTTAAATGCAATTTTCGCAATGAACGCAATTTAGTGAAAACCACCGAATTCGTAACCTTTACATCGAGTATATTAAGTTCGGCCAAATGACGTAAGTTCAACATATCATGCATGGTGATGCGGCGTAACGGATTGTGCGCCAGATCTAGCACTCGCACCGAGTTCGGTAAATGCTCCACGGCGCAGCTGGCGTTGACAATTTTGTTGTGTGAAATATTGACATAACGTAATTGACGCATTTCATGTAGCGGCGACAGTTCCTGCAAGTGATTCCGGCTAACATCGAGATGCGAAAGCAGAGATAGACTTAGCTGTGGTAAAACGTATAAGCCCATGTTGCGTATGTTCAGGCGACGCAGGCGTGGTGTATGCAAAAATACCTCTTTGAGATTAGTTGTTACCAATGGATTTTGGGATAAATCTAGGTTTGTTAGATTATTGAGGAACGTAAAAGTGTTATCAGGCAAAACAGTGATTTTGTTATGGGACAGATTTATGTCGTATAGAAATTGTGAGTTAATAAACATGCTCGAATCAAGATATTCCAAAGCATTTTGAGCGATTTGTATATTGCGTAATGTGAAGCCAACATCTGAAAATGCTGGTACAGGCCAAACAGATAATTGATTTTCCGTGATGTCCAAGTATTCTAGACGAGTATTCATGAAAACTTCGCGCGGCAATGCACGCAAACGATTTGAGTTTATACGCAATATGCGGAGCTTACGTAGGTTCGAAAATTGTTCCACTTGCAGTTGGTCTAAGTTGTTATAGCTTAGGTCTAGTTCTTGTAGACTGTTTAAGCCTTGAAAACTCCGACGACGTAGCGATGTAATATTATTATGTGACAAGTTAAGAATTTCCAGGAACTCCAAGTCACCGAACGCATGATTACCGAGGGTGGCAAGATTATTGTGTGCTAGATTTAGAAAACGTAACGTATTCGCAAGATTGGAAAAACTGTCCGGTTTATTAATTTGGTTACGGCTTATATCCAAATTGTATATATACATATAGGAGCTGAGTTCATCGTCAAAGTGCGAGAGATGGTTGTATGATATATTTAGTTTAAGTGGGGTTGTTGTGTTGGATACAAAGTGAAACATTTTCAAAGAAAGGGAGCACAAGCTATTGTGCATCAAATCTAAGGATGCCAAATTGGGCAATATCGTAAAGGCGCCCAAAGATATATTGCTCAGTCGATTGTAAGATAGATCAATATGTCGAAGGAATTCTAAATTGTAAAATGCATGTTTCTCCAACAATTTCAACTTATTAGACTGTAAGTTCAAAGTTTGCAAATCACCTAGGTTGTAAAAAGTTTTCGGTGTTATGCGCTCTATTGAATTATATGAAAGATCAATTTCCACAAGATGGTTGTGTACTTCGGGTAGAAATAATCCAGTTGGCAATTTTTTCAGTTGATTGAATCCCAAATTAATATAACTAAGCTCGCGCATATTCACAAAAGACTCATTCGAAATTGTTTTGAGATTGTTGTTATCCAAGCCCAGCCACATCAGTTGTGAAAGTGGATGCAGTGCATCTAAAGGATCAATAGAATCCAGGCTACGTGCAGGAAAAACTGCAAACGAAAGTTCCAAAATTTTTAAAGTACGCGAAACATTTTCAAAAACCATTGGATGATGTATAGTTATGTCATTGAAACTTAAACTTATTTCCTGTATTTGCTCAAGTCCATAAAATGAACCTAAGTGGAGATTAGTGATTTTATTGTTTCGTAACAAAATTGTCTGTAAGTTCGCGCCCCAACCATCTACAGCGAAAATTCCTTCAGGTATATCTGCAATTATATTATAGCCCATATTTATATAGGATAACTCTGTATAATTCTTTAGGCCCAGTACAGGTATCATGCTAAAGTTATTACCGCTCAAACTGAGTACACGTAAACTATCGGTGTATTCTGGCAAGTTAGTTAGCTGACAAATGTTGTTTGATGTTAAGTACAAATATTTTAATTTATTAAGTGAGCGTATCGCGCCTGGCACAGCATTTAAATTGTTACGTTCTAAGTCTAGATACTCTAAAGTATCTGCAATACCTTCGAAGGCACTCAAGTGTATGCGCTCGATGAGGTTGAAGGCCAGTACCAAGTGCCGAATGCTGGTGCCCCGAAATACTGCTGGCGGCAGTTGCTTTATGAAATTCTTTTCTAAATTTAACGCACGTACATGCACATCGGAATAGTTGTTTTGAAACCAATCCGTTTCCATGCTTTCAATGAGATTTTGTCCCAAATCGAGTTTCTCGAGATGCATACGCAGCAAACGCAATTCCTTTGTATGTACGCCTTTCAGCAAATTATCACGTAAACTTATTATACGCAAGTCATGCAGATGCTCGAACAGTTGCTGTGGAAATGTTGCCAACAAATTGCTAGACAAATCAATTGTGACTAAGGAACGTGGCAGGAAATTTGGTGTTATGTGGTAAATACGATTGTTTGATAAATCTAGCCATAGCAGCTTTTGCAGCTTGTTAAAAGGCTTACTGCCGACATGATTGTGCGATGAGTGCATGTTGGTTGAGGAGGCGGCTAATCCTGCATGCATGTTCCTTGACGTATCGTCACGGGATTGTATTGTCTGTATAGCAGCTAGGCTCGATGGATGTGCACCACCATTGCCGCCATTGCTGAACTCATGGAGTGCGGTTGGCGATAATTCTGTTATATCATTTCCGGATAAATGCAGAGATCTTAGTGTATCAAAGAGAGCTTCCCAATTTCCATCTAAGGTCGTAATATGATTCCTGAAATTATAATTTTTCACAAGTGTTTAAAAATATAAAATACAAGGACAAACAGAAAAGTTTTAAAATTTTATAACTGTACATTTTATTTATACAGAAATTTATTTTTTAGATCTTTTTATTACATTCATTTCATAATTAAATAGTGTATTGGTTTTTTTGTAATATATCAATAATATTTTGTATCTTTCTTACTTAAGGATACAAACAATACACATGCATTAAGTACATATATATTTACGAGTATATTTTTTTTATTAAAACACAAAAAAAAATTAATGATATGTCCAATAAAAGTTTTGTTAATGAACACTAAAATTCGCTTAAATATTTTAGTGATCTTCACACAAACACTAAGATTAGTTAAAATATCTTACTAATCTCTACCTAAACACTAAAAAGTTCACTATATTCTTGAAAATATTGTTATAAAATTTAGTATGTTAGTGAAAGGAACATTAACGAGAACAATAAAAATTTTATATTAAATTTTGGCAACAAAATGTACTTTTATTGTTTTGGACATATCGATTTTATTTTAAGTGTACAGTTTTGTTTTTTGCAAATGAACACTACACAGTGTACTGTTAATTTTCGTTTACTAATTTTAATATTAAGAAGGATCAATTTTTTGAAAGTATTTTTAATATAAATTAAAAATTAAAAATATTATAAATATTATACGTATTAATATAAACATTAATACGTTTTCATTTTTCATAGGTTCTCTAAACATGCCTTTTTCCAACTCCATTTATATTAAGTTGGCTTGTATCTTCTTTTAGCTATTATTTATTTATAATTAGAAAAAACTAAAATAAAGACTGCTCAGAAAATCTATTCTAACTATGTTTTTTATGATAAGTTTCATATTATTTAGAAAGTATTTATATGGATGACTATACACACCTTTGCGCCACTAATCTCGTTAATGAGTGTAGTTTCTGTAAAGCTTCCAGTGGTATGTGTTGCATTTTATTTCCCGATATATCCAATGTCATTAGTGAATGCGTCATTGTGCTGCAATGATTAAGAATTCATGTATTAAGACTTTTTTATTAAAGATAATGCATTTATATTATGAAATAAAAGTAAATTCCATGAATGTTATTTAGATATTTTGCAATTTGTTCTTTATTATTTTTTATAATAATTTTTTTTATTATGTTTTTTTTTGTTCTTTATTAGCATATACGTGAACACAGTAGATATAAAAGTCTTTCCAATTAAATATATATTATACAAACATTTATTTATTTAACAATAACTTTATTTATTAGAACATATTACTCTCCAAAGTTCACTTATATTGCCAGATCTCTTCCAATGCCCAACGTTCCGAAGTATGATATGCCATTTTTTCTGATACTTTACTTTTCAACAATTTTATTTTCTAAAACTAGCTATGGCTTTGGTTCCTTGGAACATGATTGAGTTACACTGTCCTTCACCAATTTACTCAGGAGATTTTCAGGGAGCTTTTGTATATGTAGTTAGTTTTACTAAGATTATTTTTTAAGATTATAACTATAAGTACTTGCATTAAAAATGAAGAAGAACTTAATTATTACCAAAGCTTATTTTCGAATGAATAGTGTTTGATATTTAACAAAATTTTTCATTTAAGCAACGATTGGTTCAATTATTATTTGTACATTTCCACAAAACTCAAAAGTTGGGCCAAAGTTGTGGATCTAAAATAAACCACAGTTTTTCTGCGCTCTAACGATTGTTCCATTAATTTTGACGTGACCTATGATTTTGAAAAGATTTGAAGCTAATGTATAAGATAGAATTTTTGAAGAGAATCTAAGCATTTAGAGTAATCTACAAACTAAGTGATAGTGATTGATAGAAACTGGTCCAGGATTCGTAAATATAATATAAATATAATTGCAATATATTTATATATTTTATACCAGTTAAATTTAGAAAAAGATTTAAAAAAATATGGATATAGTCAATATTTTCGAGTGGTCACATCTCAATCACTTTAGTTTAAGTGCTACCAAATAACCAAATTATGACGGAAGATGCCATATTTCTTGTTAGAAAATATTATTATTCAAATAGAGAAGTAGTAGTGAATCACAACAACAAAATTTATTAATTATTATTACATTAATTTTGAATCAAATTTTCAAGTTCATAATAAAATATTTAAATTATATTTATTCGGAACCAGGCTCTTCAGTAACGAAGCTCCACTGAAGTAAACAATTTTTAAAAATCTATTTAATATATCGATTTTCTTCTAATATCAATAATTAAATACAAATAATAATAAGTCATATTATTTTAAATATAGGTATTTTGAAAAGTTGTGAATCACAACAACAAAATTTTATTATTTATTAATTAATGGAATTTTCGTCTGGCCATACAGCTTTTTTGTGTACATTGTTATTGAGTACTTGTAATAAATGAAGTAAACACAGTAATCCCCACTATAACGCGGTAGATTGGTTCCACGTCATACGAAAATGTATATAGGGGTTATATAGGGGTATTACCGTATACCCCGTACACGAAGGTAAATATGAACTGTACAAATCCCCGCGTTATATGGGAGAATGCCCGTGTTATATGGGGGATTGAAGTCGTGTAATACGAACGAAAATGCGTTATAAGGGTACATCGTTATAGGGAGGATAACTGTAATGTCTAAGCTTTTGTTATTTAAAAAAACTTGGCTTAATAAAATAAAATTTTTAATGGGTAAAAAAGCTAAACTGATTCATATATATATAATATACAACCGACTGCTACCAACACTGGTTTTATTGCATGTCCTAGGACTCACACATTAACTCGGTACAAGTACTTTATGAAAAAGTATATATTAACCAAATTTCTGTTTTAAGCGGTTTTCCATGCTAATATAATGCATTGTTAACTGCTTTAATTTTCTCAGCAAATTATTCTCAAACTTTCTGATATTTAGAAATGTCACGCGTTAGTGGGTATGATCCATTCTGCAAAACTGCTGCGTTACTTGGGGTGTTATTTTCCTTTTTTGTGGTGAACCAACATAGCAGGCAAATAACATAGCTCTTTCAGTGCCCGTCACTTTTCACTAATTCTCCTATGTCTACGCTCGTGCACATTTTTAAACATTTCCTGTTAAAAAAATTAAACAATAAAAAAATTACCAAAAATAAAAAAATCTTTTAAAAATGCTGACTATGACGGTTTGAAAGTAACTCGAAGGACTTTCATCCTTTGCGTTTGCTCACATTAATATACAAGCAACATATATTTTCGTACGTACACAGTACCAGCATTAGTCCCACTGATGCAAGGGGCAAAGCGACATGTCATCATATACTTTGATGATGTGTCACCTTTTTTGTCTGCGGTGTCCTCCTAAGTTTTTTTGGTATTTTGGTGGGTTTTTTCAATGCTTTTTAGTGGTTGTGTGTGGTATTATACCATAACTCTACTCAGGGGCATTTTTTATATAAAATTTTTTTCCTCTGCACTTCTGTTTTTACCTCTTTTATTGTGGCAGTGCACGTCGCGGCTTTTATTGCGTGTATTTGACGTTGGAAATTTAGAGAACCAAAAAATTGCTACATCCATTGTTGAAATCCAAAACGTACCGAATGACTGTTTACTTTCGTGTGAACATATTCGTCCATGTATAATCACAAATGCAAGTATCTTCCACATGTACAACCTTTATTAGCTGAGTTAGTTATTTATTTGTTTAAAAAAAAAACCTATTTGGACGTGAATGGCACTGCTTTCGGTTCTTGAGCAAAAACTATGGGTAAGATGGTTATTTTCGGTACTTAGTTCGCAGTAAATTTAAATGAATTTCTTTTTTCTATAAAAAAAATAAGCCTTTAAGTTTTTAAAATTATTTTTACTATTTGGTAATTACTTTGAATAATTATATAGTTTCTCATTGATTAAGTTGTTTATGTATGAATGTAGGACATCATTTAAAGATAACATACCTATAACATCCATATAATTAAATAAATAATAGATTTCAATTAATAAATTAAATTAAATTAATAAAAAATGGAGTTTCTGTTGGGCAACTTATATGCTTAACTCAGATCTTGAATATAAAGTTAAACTATTTCATATTAAAATATGATATGAAAACTTTAAGACTATTGTGGTGATGGCCTAATTAATGTACGCTGTCGTATATAAATCCAAACTCATTGGGTATCCACAGCCGAAAATGTGCAATAGACTGCTTTGATCTGTGACTAAAAAACACCAGCATTACTATACACCTATTCGATTAGTTAGCGAACTATAAAATCTCCATGTTGCAAAACTCTCATTCCTGCGTTGGCTTGTATGAATAAAGTCGTACTCGTTTATATGCTTGGTCATAAGAAACTCCACGTTAACGAAAACCGGGTATCTGAAAAGTTTGCGAAGGAATATTCCCTAACTGCATTCACATGACATAAACATTTATGTGGGATATGTTCTTATTAAACTGTTTCAGTTTTGAGTTTTGAAACATCAAGAAGAAATTTATTTTAGTCAATATTAAAAATTTACACAGTTTCTCAGTTAATAACGAATTAAAGTCAGATTTAAAATTAATTTCCTAATTAAACGTATTGGTGTTTACCACCATCTTTCAAAAATGGCTTTAAAAGACATAAATTTCAGCGTGTTTTGTGGTATACAGAGCGAATCCTTCGACTATATTATCTAGTTATATTTCCGATATATCTGATATATTTTTCTTTTTTTTTATCTATTATGTATATTTTGTTTTTAATTTTTTGAGTTATGTCGAAAATTCTTCAAAGTCCTGATAAAGGTAAA